TTTCCATAATTAATACTGATAATAACATATTATAAAACATCAAATAAATTATAATTGTTATTATTTATTATCTAATCTAATTCAAACTTATATTAATCTCATCTAATACTAAATTTAAATATAATCAAAACTTGTTTCAAATCTTAAAAATAATATATAATATAAAAAATATATTTTTATATATATTCAAAAATTAAACAGCAAATGTATAGAAAAAAATTATTCAGAATATTGATTTTGATAATATATTATAATATATATAATTAGGGAGTTTTTTTTTATGCAATATATATAATTTATATAATTATATTTCAATTTATGTATGTATTATGTATTATGTATTAATGATATATAATTATGTATATATCAATTGAGAATACAATACAATATATTTCCTTCGTTTATTAATATTTCAAAATTCAAAATTATATTATTCAACAATATTTTGCAATATTTTACAATATTTCAAAATTATAATTATTATACAATAATTTACTTTCTTAATTTTTTGAAAATCGTTAAATACACGAAAATTTTTTTATTGAAAAATTAAACAAAAATTTATGAATGAACAATGGTTATTATGAAAAATATGTTATAATCTTCATTTTACAATAGAACATTGATCATCATTATTTTAACAAAATATGGATAAGCAATTTTTCAAATAATCAGTTTAAAAAATTAAATTTATGAATATGTAATATGAATATAGAATCAAATGAAAATTGAATAATTTTATTTTAATAAATAATTTAAATATAAATGTTTATTTTATTTACGTAAAAGAATACATATCTAATAAATAAACAATATGTTGTAATTATTCAGTAGATATTATACAATTTTTATTATCATTTAATTTTATATTCAAGTATTTTGAATTAATAGATCTAATACTAATATATTTCATGTTTAAAAGATCCATGAATGAAAATCGTTTTTATTATACATATAAATTTTTTTTTTATAAATTTTTTTTGAAATTCTAATAATTTTATATTTAATGTCGCTTTTGTATAAAATATTATAAATGTGAAATATTCTATTTTATAATATTAAATGTAAAATATTTTAATGCACATTTATTAATTGTATTTTCATTCTTTGTTAAATGTTTAATAATATTAATTTTGTTTCAATAACATTTAATTTATCTTTCAAATTTATTACTATTATTTTTCTTTTTCTGTAGTCTTCATGATATAAGTATAATCTTTATGTACATTAAATTCAGACGAGACTCATTTAACTGCATTCAAAACAGTATTTCAAAATGTAAATATTTTTATATTAGACATACAATTTCTATACGAAAGTGAAAAAGTTATTTAAATTCATTCTAACTTTAAATAATAATTTATATAAGAGAATTCATATAATCAACATTTTATTTATTTATGCTGAAATTTTTAATCATTATTAAATTTACGAATTTATGAATTTATACGAAATACTATATTTTCTGGTATCTAATAGTTTGTTTTATCATTCCTTAATTCATTCTGCCTGAAGTTTTTAAAACAATTTTTCAATTCTATTTTTCTAGAAGATTGATCGATTAAATATGTTAAATCAGTGATCTCTCAAGATTCGTCAGAGAACCAGTTTTCATTACGTTCTCTGCGCGTTAACACAATCTGATCATGTATTAAGAAGTTTCAAAGGCAATTACCACACGCCTCGATCACAAGACCGTCACGCGACCTATCTTATGAAGTGGGTAAACGTGATGACAGTAAAATCGTTGTTTCATTAAGTTGTGTTACGCATCGCGGGACATGCAACACGCACGCGCGCTAATCTGCCACTTCACCATAAATAATCTGCATCTTTAATAATTTCGTCAAGATTCCGCTTAAGGAAAATACTGGTCATTTAAAGAAGATCATCTGAAAGCAAGATTTTTTTTTTTTTTTATTAACGAATAGTTTCAAATATTTTCTTTATTCTGAAAGAATATAAAACTTAGAACTTAGAAAGATTATAAAACTTATAAAGATAATTATTTAATCCTGAATAAGTTTCATATCTTTAAATCTTCATTTAAAAATTGTAGATATATCTTATACTATATTATATACTTATACTTTATTATATTGAGATCAAAATTAAATATTAATATTAAATAACAATTCATAAATTACTTATATTTTTAACATATGTTGTAGTTCACTACAAAATAGAAAAATTGTGACGAATTTGTTTTTTGTTTCGATTAAAAAAATTATAATATAAATATTATACATAAAATTTTTACATTGTAATTAATCATTGTAGTTATTGACAAATATGCATGAGATACAGTAAAAAAATCTATTTTTTTGATATAATTGATTACATTAATGTAATAAGAAAAAATTATTTAAGAAATAATTATTTGAATAAATAAAAAATATTTATATTTATTTTTTATTTGAGAATTAAATTTAATTTTTTATTTAAGAATTAAATAACAAAATAATTTAAAAAATAATCATTTATCAAATAACACATTACTTCAAATAAAATTTAATCAAGTAAAATAATATATTGTTTTAATCTTTTAAACTGATAAATATTTATTTATCTATTTTGTTTCTATAATTAAATTAATTAACAAATCTATAAATTATTTAAATATTTAAATATTTATATTTTTGTTGCTTAAGTTATATTCATTATTATTCGTTCAAAATCGTTGTTCAAAATTATCCGTTTAAATCAAGACATGATTTTACAGAAAAAAATCAAACATGTTGATATACAAAAATATTATGGTTTAGAACGATAGAGATAGAGTGAGTCTAATCTATCTTCATCATATTGCTGTTTTATTCTGTTTTCTCTAATACAAACTTAAATTATTTGTTAAATAAGTCACAATTAACATTTTTATATTTTATATTCTAATTTCCAATTTCTATATTTATTTAATCTGTGAAACCAGTCTTCAATCAACCAAAGGCTATCTATCTATGAATATATAACATTAAATTTGCATATTTTGAAATTAGAATTATTAGAATAAAAAACGTACATTTAATTTTTGAAAACAAATTTGGAATTGAGTGGAAATTTGATTCATATGAAATAATTGTTTCGTTAACGCAATTAAAATTCAATGAAAATGATATTAAAAAAATAAAAATTGAAATTTATTCATTGATCTCTCTTCTATTGTTTTTAAATAAAAAAAAAACAAAATAAAAAATATTTATTGTTTTAATAATATTTATCTATTTTTTATATATAAAAATAAGAAACACAAGTATACAAAATAAAAGTAAAAAAATTAACGTCTTAAATATAATATTAAAACAAAAAAAAGTTATTAACATCATTCACACTGATAGTTTTCAAAATTTGCACAATTTACAGTGCATAATAAATGTGTCCAAATAATTTTTTCTAAGTTAAATAATTTTCTGATTTATTTTCTTACCATCTAAAAAGAAGAAAAAACTATTAGATAATATGTAAAATTTTTCATAGTTGAAAAATCATGTGTTCATGGAAAAATCCTGATTACTTAATTGATATTCTATTATATTTTAACAATAAGTTTAAATGTAACAAAATTACTTTATTAAAATTACAAGATAAAATCAAAATATCCACTTTAGATTGTAAAATTTATAAAACAAAATAATAAATTGAAACTTATTTCAAAGATGAAAACGTATCTTTTCATTTGCATATTATTATTAAATATTTCAACAAAACAATTAAGAATCATTGAATATCAATTAATTGGATTAAAAATAAAAAGAAAAACAAAGATTGATGTAAAAGAATATCATAAATATCTTAAAATATTTGAATAATTAATGATAATGAATGATTAATGATTGATATAATTGGTTTAGCATTGGTTCTTTTTTATACATGGAAAATTGTCGTGATATCGCAAATTTTAGTAAATATGAATAGTTTATATGAAATAATTGAATAATTTGTATAATTATTCAATTAATTATTTGTATAATTACGTGCACGCAAAATAATTGACTAGATAAATTATTTGAATATTATTATATTATTTTTCACAGATATATCTTAAAAATTTACTAAAATAATGATTTCTAATAAATGTGTTAAAATAATGAGTTTTAATGAATTTATTAAAATAACGAATTTTCTTGTAAAAGGAATTTTCTTTTGAAAATTTTCTCAATAAATGAATTTTCTTCGAATGAAATAATGTCTATTAACATATAATAATAGATCTATATATATAATCTATTTTTCTTATTTTAAGAAAGTAAAATTTTATTGTTAGAGAATATTAAATTTTATCGTGATTTTTCAAATGCTATGTTTTCAGATTATATCGCACTGAAAGAAATAAGTAATAATCAAAAATAATTTAAGAGTGTTTGAAGAGTTGATAATGAATTTATTCTAATTGATAAGATTTTGGCTTTGATTTTAGTAGGCTTGTAAAAATGAACCGAAATTTGATTTTTAGATTTGATTGAAATTGAAATTGATTAATCTTTTTCTTATGATTTTTCTAATATTGAAAAATCAAAATTAGAGCATCTTATATATTTTGTTATAACAAAATGACTAAATTTTAAAAAAACATACAAAAAATTACCACAAATATAAAAAATATAAACTTATTATAATCTGTTGTTATTTTTATTAATTAACAAAATTTAATTAATGACTTAACAAAAGCACAATGTTTTACTGATCAAATTTTCATTTCCAATCGAGCTATTCGTCAATATTCATATTTCGTAAAATTTCGAAATACAAAAAAAAATTTTACCACCACAATAAACTTGAAAGACACATTTACAATTATATACATTTACAACGATATAATACGAATGATATCGATAAGTCAAGTAGCAAATACTCATGAGCAAATGTTTCGCAAAATTTCGAAACATGGAAAAAAAACCATCACGATAGAAATTAAAAGGCACAATTCGCAATGATTTACGCTCGCATTTGCAATGATAATTGAAATAATATCGAGCAACTTGATTATATATCGGGTGAGAGGAAGGCGAGTGAGAAAACTCGACCGTCACTCCTTTTGTCGTGATCCAAGCAGGAACCAAGCAACACTCGTTCTCTCTGATCTCTTCGAACTAGTTCCATTGTCACCGTTTCCCGCGACACACGTCCTATCGTTGATATATCAGCCTCTACTCCCTTCCGGATAAAAGTATCTTCTTATTGATAACATCATAATAGCACACAATCACAGTTTATTACGAGCAACCTATTACAGACGCGCACAGTTATCTTATCGCGAATAGAATAGAATATCTTTCGATCGAAAAGATTTCTGATCATCAGTTTAGATCTGATTTAGATTCGCTCGATCACGATCCTCTCAGTATCCTCTCTGTTTCTCACTGGCTTAACCCTACCTTGCGCCTAATGTGTCACGGCTAAACTTAGTTTTGCACGAAAATTCGCCGGTCCATTCTGCCTAACCGCCGCCTCCACCTCCTCCACCACGAGGCAGCGAGGTCGCAGCGGCCGCCTCGATCATCACCGCGATCGTGTATATCGTTATAGTCTATCGCCGATATCGAGGAACGATTTAACGCAACGCTAAACGAGAACTCGCCGAGCGGACCATAACAATTGAATCGTTTGACCCGTTTTAATTGGCAAGTTACACCGCTGCGAATGGGATACTCGCCAGTAAACCGAGCTCTGACTAGTTCACAGTGTCGTGGATCCTATCAGAGAGGAATCATCGAGTGCGTTCGTTAGTTTACGCGATATTCGCGCGAACTAATTTGCGGAGACCAGTTTTTTCGACTCGAGGATAAAAAAAAAAAAATAAAGAACCAGAAGAGGATCGAAATAATAATAAGTTCTCGAAACTTTGTTCATCGGAATCGCTGATTTTGAGCGTGTAATCGGTCACTTCGTTCGACGGTTAGGTCGATTCTTCTTTTTGTCTCCTTCTTATCTGGTAGTACGCACATAGTACATTCGAGAAAATGATGACGAACAATGGAAGCAACGGGAAAATTTCAACCATAAGCGGTGAGGATTTTGTTTTTTTTTTTTTTTTGACGCCAGTCAAACTTGCATAATCGCGGACAGTGTTGCGCAACGTGTCATACCGTTGCTGCTGTTATGTACGTTCATTTCGACGAGTTTGTCGTGATTTTTCAGTGAGGACCGAGAATATGGATGAAACGGCGGACATCGATAAAGCGATCATGGCAACAGGTCAGAGATTTACGATTCGAACGTTTCGTTTCGATCCCGGTTAAGCATATCTGCTTTTACAGGCTTCGGCAAGTTTAACGTGTTGCTGTTCCTTGCTGCGTTGCCGGTTGCGTGGACTGGCATCTTCGACACCACCACGACAGCTTTCATGATTGCTTCCGCCGAATGCGATCTCCGGCTCACTTACTTTCGCAAAGGTGTTCTCGCCGCCTTTCCGTTCTTAGGTACGGATTTCTTATTGGATTGATAGTCTTTCCCCTCGATGATCGATAATTCGTTTTAAAATTACTTAGAATCAATTTTTCACATGGCGATTCGTGTATTCGCGATTTATATTATATTAATAACGTGTTCGGTTATTATTTTACATATCGATAGATGTATCGATGATTTGTATACAATGATATGCAATCGACTGTAAAGTGGGTTATATAGATGCTGGAACGTGTTGCAATGGAGGAATCGATTCAAATAATGAGTTTAAGTTAATACGATGTTGGAACATGATCGTACTTCCACTGTTGCGAGACATTGATTTAAATCCATCGATGTCTCCGTTATGATATATTTCAATGTCTATGAAACATTTAAAAATATTCTCAAGTGTTTCGATTAATTTTGTAACATTTTTCATATTAAATCGGTCTATGGATAAGTAATTTTTCAATGTAAATATTATTATATATTGTTTTTAATTTGAAATAATCGAGGATATATCGGGAAAATTGAAATCATAATTTTATATCTTACGAGAATTGTCATGTGAAAGAAATTTAACAAGAGCTTGTACAACATGATGCGTATCGATGTGTATTACGAAAAATAATACATCATTTGTTTTATGAGAAACAACAAGAAATGTCATCAGCTATGAATCAATTTAAACAAGTTTTATTTGAAATTGAAACAAGAAATAACAATTTATTTAGAATAATTTATTTCGATTCGTTATTTGTAATAATATTATTTTATTAATTTATTTGAAATAATAAATTTTTGGAATAATTAATTAAAAAACATTATATATACGAAATTTATCAATTTATTAATATCAATTCTTTTTAAACTGAATAATTGCAAAATATTATTTATAATAATATTTTAAAGAGAAATAATTTATTTTGTCATAAGGAAATCATATTTGAGTAAAAACTAATCATCATTATTTCACCAAGAAAGAAATCAAATTTTAACGTTCATAATAAAAATTAACACATTATATCATAGAGAGTGAAATATTTAAACTGACCAGCTAAATTACATGTTTGTTTCTTAAAATAGAAAAAAGTATTCATCAGACAAAAGTATATAATTTTTTTATAAATACAGGAATACAAAAATCTATCTCATTTTTTTAAAATATTATAAATTTTTATTCATATTATGATTTTAAGATGAATGACCTATGATTGATCATTTAAAATTATTTGAGATCAATCAAACGATAATGAATAAATTATAAATTATAAATTATAAATTATAAATTATTTATTAAATTTTTATAATAAAAACAATATATTTTTTTTCGAAGAAAAGCTTTCAAATATATTTCTTTTTATCATTATAAACATACTATTTCTCTTCAAAATCATTGTAACAAATTATATAATTATTAATTAATTACCTTTAATTACAACAAATTCATAACAAAAAATGATAATATGTGCTTCGTTTCTTCTTTCACGAAGAAACAAGATATTTTGAATTATTTAATGAAGATAATGATACAATTTAAACAAGTCAAAGAATATAAAAACGAATGAAGGTATTTCTTTTTTAAAAATATCAATTTAAATAAAATAATAAAATAATAAAAAAAGTAAAATCTCTCTCGCTCAACTCAAGATTCAAATTTCAAATTTGTTCTTTTTCGTAAGACAATTCGTGTCGCTTTTCGTAATGCACGTCAGTATAATCTCGAACGCACATAGGGATGGCATTGACCAGCTTCCTGTGGGATTATCTAACACCGTACATCGGCACGCGAAACTTATTCGTCCTCGGTCTCCTGGTGGACTCTGTCCTAAACATACTTGCCACCGCAATCAATTCCTACTACGCGTTTCTGGCCATCAAATTTTTCAACGGTGTTCTGTGAGTATCACCCCCTCTCCCAACTAGCCGTATCAACCCTCTTCTCTCGTCCGACACACATCTCGTGAACGCGCCAAGTCAAGTTATCCGAGAGATACGAATTTCAGCGCGGGAGGCCCGTTCTCGATGGTGACGGGATATCTATCTGAATTTCACTCGGCAAAGTACAAGGCCAATTTTACCAGATGGGGAGGTCTCGCGGTAAACGCGGCCATTATAGTCCCGGCAAGTAAGCAATTTCTTTACCGCCTAATTATCAATTAACTCTTTGGGGCATGATGGGGTAAAAAAATGTTCCGCCATTTTTTTTTTCTTTTTTTTTTT